ATCTTCACAGGAAACATACAAAAGGGGGGAGTGATGCTGAGAGAGGACATCATTTTCAGCAAATTACAGAGCAAGTATGACCCTCCCTCTCATTTTTTTTCTGGCTCCTGGGGAAATTATGAGGTAAGTCTGACACCTTGACTGCTGGATGATGAGCGCAGACATAGGCAAAGCAGAGAGACAATAAACTTCACTGAGGGTAATACCTTGGCTTAAGTGGCATTTCACGACCCCTGCAGACTCACAGATAAGAGGATGAAATCTCAAATTGGTCTCCTTGTCTAGTCAACGGGTGATTGATATTTTATAGTTCAACCCAAACATGCATAGCTGGGTGAAATGAAAACTGGATTTTGTTACATGGCAAGTCCATTCCAGATGCAATTTAAAACTTTGAACCATAGCGGGGAAATATGAGATCAATTATTATCTCAAACAGTTTATCTATGCTGACTAAATATTTAAATGAATGCAAATGGTACTCCCACAAAGGCCTGTGGCTTGGGATCTGTGTCGTAACCTAGTCCCACTCAGTGCGCTACCTAGTGTTTATGCAAATTATTCTTCACTGTAAGTTTGCTCATTGCAATTCTTTGGTTAGTGCAGCGCAGGTTAAACTGGTGCCTGCATACATATTTCTCTTTTCTTTTATTGCTCTGGTTTGTCCCTCTGTCACTGCTTGTTATTTTCCGCTCAATAGAATTTTAGATTAGCCATGAAAGATCAAATGCAAAGGCATTCACAGTTTTTTCTGGGCATTGTGCTAATATTCTGCTGTCAATGTACCTGGATATTAACTAAATTACTACTTCAGTGCATATCTGAGGGATCTAAACTGTACTTGCATTACATGACACTTTATACTAAGAAGTAAATATTGCACAATATACTCCACTACATTTATCTGACAGGGAGTAACAAAGGTTACTGGTTACTTTTACAAATTAAGATTTTACATACCAAACATTGTAAACATTGAGAATATGATGCATTATTAAAAAATTTGTCTATGCAGAAACAGTATATACAATTTTAGTTTAAACAGTTAATCTATCCATTATTGATTGATAATTGTTCTGATTAATCATAAAAAAATGCATTTCATAATTTCAGCTTCTAAAATGACTGCTTTGCTGCTTTTGATCATCTTAAATTACCTTAAACTGAATAATTTTGAGACAGCATTTGAAGCTTGAGCATATTCAGAATTTTCTTAATTTTTAAAAACCAAACAAAAAACAGATTGCAGAAAATAACCAGCAGATGAATCTATAATGGAAACACGAATCAGCTGAAGCCCTTAAATAATGAAAACTTATCTCCACCTCAACCATGTAGAGCATTAGTACTGCATTAGTATATACTGTGTATATCATGTCATTAGATATGCTACACTTAAATGGACAATTTTTCTGTAATCAGTACTTTCACAGATGACCCAATCTTTGGTTTCATTTTATTTATGTATTTGTTAGCTGTAAACAGAGGGTCTGATAGAGAACACTGTCAAACGAATGAACAATAGTAGGGAGACTTTAATGCCATGTCATATGCAATCACTGTATACTGCTGCCTTTCCAACGTTCAACCCTCCATCTGTTTGTGTGTTGCTGGAGGACAATAACCACATTGGTAAGTAGGGTTGTTAAGCGTCAACAAGCACTTTTGAGTGCAGCTTCCTAAACAACATTATCGTTGGTGAAGCAGCTGTAGATGCTGTCCCACTGCTTCACCAGTAAGATAGATCTCCTGCACTTCACTGACAGCAGATATTCCATTATATCAACCAGCAGTCACCGTTTCCTCCTCTGAATTATTGCCAGCCCTGGTACTTGCCTCAGCACCAAATTGGCTTAGCCAGTAAATGGAGGATTTGAATAATACATTCCACCTATCTGCCTCTCTTTCTTCTCCACCCAGACTGCCTGGACTTCATTTAGTGACATTATAATCCATTCATTTGTAGCAGTTGCTCACAATTTACATGAAGCATTACTACCCTCCCCAATGCAAGACTAGTCAAAAGTGCCTGATTTCAAAAGCAGTATTGCTGTCATTCTCATCTGTTATTCCATATTAGAGGTAAGTCTAAGTCTAAGTTATATGTACATACTCAAATAGCTTGATTGATTTCTAGGGCCAGTGGTGTTGTTGGTCTCTTTTGCTCCTTAGCTATACTTTCTCTCAAACCTGTGTTGATGACAACAATACCTGGTATGTCCTGAGAAGCTGAAATTCCATGTGCAGTTTTGTTTTAGCAAAATCTCTGTAGTGGTGTGTCTCAATAAATACAGAAAAAATTGCTTACATTTACGTTGTTAGATCAATTCCCACAGCACTTATTTAGGCTCATCGTTGTTTCTGGAATTGAGGACATCTGAAATCTTAAATTGAAGTCAGTATTCTATTGTGAGATAGTTTAGATAACTTCATAGTAAAATATCAATATGTATTGAACTCATATTCAGTGTGTAAATAAGAAATGTGTGAGAAAGCTCAAGAATGAATAAAATGTCTGTTGTCTGGTGTGAATATGCAATATCCAGACTTTGTTTAGCCATTTGAAAAAAGTTAATTGGAAAAACAGAAACAGAATAATTGAGACTATTTTTTTTACTTTGCCATTTGCTGGGAGAAGTCATAAAATTTAGCTTAAAGCCTCCACAGACTATTATTAAGTGACAAATTCATTGCTATGCTTGCTTGTTGGGAAAGGACAATCACGTTGAACATAATGTGCTGCTTAAAGCTAAAACCCAAAAGCATCATTTTAACTGAACATGCGGTTAAGCCACTCAAATGCAAAGCAACAGAACAACAAGAGACTTACATACTACAATGTAAACAAACATATTTCCACATTGGATTAGAGGCTAAATGTATTTTTACATATAGTAGGCCATCCCCTCGTATCAAAACAAAGAAACTAGATTTCTAGATTTTCTTATTTTTTCCACAGATCCTCTACGTCAATAAATCTAGTAGCAAGATGACACTGCATTACATATTTAGATTTATATATTCCCTTATGTACTTACTCTCCACTGTATCATCAGTATATTATGAACAGTCCTATCCATTGTGAATCAAAGCTCATACCTGGACAACATTAAAGCAATTGTGCCCTCAAGGTAAATTCAGCTGGGAAGGTCCATTATGAAAGCCCATCAGCTACACTCTGAAAGGTCCTCAGTCCTCAGGTTGTATCTGAATAAAAAAATATAATATTTCAGAAGCTTGCTCTTGTGAGCCTTCTCCAATGTATCCAAAGAAATATTTTGCATGTTAGGATTCAGAATTGAAGCAGTATTGTTGGCATTTGTCAGAATTCATGTAGCTTTACCTGCTCAAAAGAAAGATGAGACCTTTGGCTGTGACCGGTCATTCTTTATTCTGCCAGCTGTGGATCCTGATATCTTTAAACCTTTATTTTCTGAATTCAGGGTGATGTGCAGTGGCAGCACCAGGCTCAAAGGCTACTGTGTCTGGGGTCACGTATCAGGTTCACCCCAGGGTCATGAAGATATTAGGGAGCATGATACAGTGTGTCTGTCATTTTCAGTGCTGCAGCTGCACTGCTGTGACTTCCTGGGCCGGGCTGTCCACATCCACATTTCACAGCTCCAACGTGACTGCTGCAATGAGACAAGACATTGCAGCATCTGTGCCAAGTCCTCACACAACCACTTGCTCCCTCTCAGAGAAGAGCATCTGCAGCCTGGCTGCCACTTCCCGACTTACTCGGGTCATCCCCCAGACTACGTCATTACAGAGGACATCAGGCTGCACTCTCCATAAATTAAATCTGGGACTGCATTTACACAGGGACAGACAATGTGGGTTTAACCATTGAGGCACAGATCAGATTTATTCATTAGTATGTAATGTAATCTTTTCTTCTGTTCTCTGTATTTTTCCAGCTCCTTTTGCTCTGACCCCCAAGTAGGGTCTTAATCAACCTTGCCATCGTAGCATATTATGCATACATAACTTAGATTGTTTATTTGCGAAAGTAGAGGGAGAGTAAAGAAAGGGTATCCACAAATACAAATATACCTGCATTTAAACATGTTACATCATCTTGTGTTTCTTGTAAACACCATCCTGTATTAGACTGTGTGGATGCAGGTCTGTGTGGGTGGGAATTTGTATTCTGCAGGTTCTTGTATTCAATAATTTATCATTGATATATATTGATTTACTATCACAGAGACCAAGGCTTGACCTCCTCAGTGAAGTATGGTCTACTTCAATAGCTGTCCTGGCTCCTCCCTTCATCTGCTCCCCCTTCAATTTACAGACCACTGCCATCACAATGTGGCAGTTTTTACTTGTCTAAGGGGGCTCCTTAATGGTTTCCATTTACATTAGAGTACCCGAGCCTGTCATATACTGACAACATGCCACAGCCTGTGGTCAGGGGTCTAAGGACAGAGAGGTATATCCCGACTGTACCCCCTTGAAGCAAATGTTTAATTTGTGATATTGGACTATGTAAATAAAATTGACTTAATCATATGAATTTAAAAGTACATACACATATAACATTAGGTCTATGTGATCATTACAAAAAGCATTCAAGTGATATTAAACGGAATACAGTAAAAATACCTCATGTTTTCATACACAAGTTCCCTCACATTATTATTTAGGAATCACCGTCACCAAATAGTATGAAATGGACATATTAAGCATTTCTTTAGATTACTAAGGGGCCCCCTGCTGGTAGGACCAATGGACCTTTGTGTGTGGGAAAATATTATCTCCTTTCATGCAATACAAAATTAAACATGCCTCCAACCAGACTGTGAAATTGAGCAATTCAAAACCATTTCCAGCGCGGCGGTGCAGCCCGTACTCACAGAGAAAGGGAGGAAAAGTTTGCTCATAGATAGGCTGCTCAAGCCCTAAAGCTCAAGTGACGTAGCTGATACTTTTCACTCCGACTGTCTTCATTAACTTGAAACTGGAAACCGTTTTTATAACACACCGGCTATCATGCGTACTCACTTCTGCCCGAGGAGTTGCCATAACCCTCTCGGCATCCGTGATGAGCCCGCCACCATTTATAGCCTCGCGGTGACAAACAATCTTATTATGAGATTTAAACTTTGCCTCGGCTAGACTAGAGGATCAACATGCGCTCCTCTCGCACTTATTCCCCGCAGTTTCCCAACTGATACAGTACCTACCTGCCTACCCGCCTCCTCTTGTTATGGTTAAACGCCGGTGTCAGCTCTCGGTGTAATAGAAAAACCCATGCAGGGCTCCGGGTCTGTTCAGCATACATAAAGGCGAGCGGTGAGAGGAGCTCAGCCCCTGAATTAAATCACTCACCGCTAAATGGATCTTTGAGACTCTCCCTTGACGCAGTCAGTCGCTGCTTTGTGTGTCTTCAAACCGAAAAGAGAAAACTGGGATTCTTTTTTTAATTTTTATTTTTTTTATTATCTAACAGAAATACCTAATGTCTCTTTGAACAAATGTCTTGTGTTCGTGGTGACATACAGTAAGCTGCCAGCTTTGTATCGGGAAGAGGCTCTTGCTCCGCGATCGTCAAGCAGGTAAGCTCTTACAGTGTTGCTAGATTTTACACTTCAATATCGGCGAGTTTATAGACAGAATACTATACTTTATGTCCCTATGCATTCACACGGAGTAGCGGTAAATCTTTCAGATTGATATTGAATGCTTTTAAAGAATAGTGGTGTTGAATTTGAGTAGTCTTGTTTGGCTTTGCAGAACAAAAAAACACAAACTGTTCTATTACCAAGTGCATATACACCTTGCAAAATGCACAGCTGAACTTGTGCACCATCGTGCTGAAGTAGATGCATTTTGCGTTAGTTTTTGCCAGATCTTCGCAAGCTGACGTGTACTGTGAGCGGGACACGGGGGGCACTTTTTCGCTTTAACTGCGGTTCTTGTACGTTGCAAATAGTCTTTTAACTTTATTTTTTTTAAGTTTGATCAATCTCAATGTTATTTACCAAGATAGGGGCGCGTTTTAACGACACAATAGGTTTGCATTTGATCTGCAAACACTCCATCTGATACAGCTCCAGTGAAAGTAGAGGGTACTTTGCAACTGTAAAGCTCCAGTAACACCGCCCGCTTGCGATGTCGTTTCAGCACCACGGACAGCTCCCCGGCCGCTTTACTTACGCAGTGAAGAAGGCTCAACTTTATTTCATAGATTCACACAATGAAACTGGTATCTAGTCACATCTGAATGAGAGCACATGTTAATGTGAATGTAATTTACTTTGTCTGGTTATTATTGGAAATAAATAAATAAATAAATAAATATATAAATAAGCATCCCTGCCACAGCACTATACCATATTAAACGTGCATTAACTCATAATTTCAAACACAAATAATAAATGATCAGTGCATTGCATGGCTTGGATTTATTATGTTGTCATTATACAGTCTTGTACTTACAGTACAGTAGCTCTGTGCAGTCTCACTCAGATTAGCTGAGGATTTTGCTGCGTCTGTGCCATCTGTCTGGGAAATGCATACTATATACTTCACACTAGACATGTTGATTTATTTGAATTGCACAAGGCTTCATATGGATTGATTTCTTTATTCTAGTCAGCATAGGCCTAATTTCCAAAGAGGTTTAGCCAGCTCTGAAGTCTTCCACAAAAATGAAGACTCTCTAAATTCTCTGACAGAGGAGGAGGAGCGGAGGAGCTGGTGGTTTGGTGGGGATCTGTAGTCCAAAGCATATATAGTGGCTCAAAAAACGCTGAAACGATGCCAGGTTTAATATAACCTACACCTGCGGTCACTCGACAGCCAAAGAAATGACAAGCCTATAGGAACAATTCTCTGGCTTTCCACTCAGCTGCACTATGGACGTAGGAGTGCTGTATCATCTCTGTTCTGGATAAATAATGTGTTACTGTCCTAGTGACATTTAAAGCCAGGAAAGCATTTAAGACATACAACTTCTGCAATCTGTTTTATGCCACTGAACCGCAGGCATTGTATTAATTGTCAGTGGTTGCCCTCGTTCCAGTCATTTCATACAGAATACCAGCCTGAGCTTAGCCTTTACCATCCGTGTGAATCACTATCTGATTTTTTCCCAACTTTTAATGTCTGGAGTTATGACTGTTTCAAAACATCTTAGTTTTGCTGCTGTTGCTGAAGCTGTCTCTCACATTTGCTTTCACGTCTCCCTTTTCCTGTCCCCGTCTCCCTTATCTTGATTATGCAGCTGGATGATTGAGTCAGCTATTTTGTATGCAAGTTGCCTTAGCTTGGTTCTTTGTGGAGGGGGAGAGAGAGAGAGATCGTGCTGAGGATACTGAAAGAGAATTACAGCTTCTCATGACGGTTAGGAGTGGAAAAGATGAGGCTGCCCTGTTCGATAAATTGCTGTTTGAGAGAGGCAGATATCCTCAGGGGACAGCGGTTTTGGAAATGTGACCAACCTTTCTAAATGGAAATGGCAGCGCACATTACAGTTTTCCACGGCTCTATACTACGAACGACTTGAATTGAAGCATCCAAACTCTTTGTTACCAAGTTAGTCTAATATGAACCCATTTCTCTGAATTGGGAAAGATTTTAGAGGCACGTCATTTTGTACAGTGAGAGTGGACAAATATGTATGGCATACTATGAGAGCGGTGTACATAGGGAGGTGAAAATATCCATATTTACAGTAAGTTTAAGCTCATAGAAACCTTAAATCTAAACACATCCCACTACCCAGTTTGACTCTGGGTAGGAACTTTCACAAGATCTCATTCTCCTTTATCTCTTGCCATGTTTCTTGTTGTTTGTGAACTACGAGGAACAAAAATGTATGGGGGAAAAAAGCCAAAAAAAACCATAAAAGACATTGCACATGGAATGCAAATATGTTTACTTTTTCACACTAATGTAGAGAAGTTACCGAGGCTTGGCCAACTGCATGCTCAAGGAGCGATGCTCTGGTTATATGGTTAACAATGTGTAAACTGTAATCAAAGGGACCAGTCATGGTTTGTAGACAGAGCTGTGAAACATATGGTACAACAGCATGGCACATTTCTGTTCCACAGCTCTCCCAACCTGTAAAATTCAAACAGCAAGTTCCTGTGCTGTAGTGTGTGTGCATGTGCCATTTAAGAAGAGCTGTTGCACCACCTCACTCTCAAGTGTCCCATGTGACACTCAGCTGTTTTATAAAAGGAAGAATGAGCTCTTTTCTCTCAGTAGTGAAGAATGGCTAGGCTGTGGTATTAGTCACAGGGGGAAAACATGAACAAATTTAATTTCTTCCTAAGTAAGTGCTAAATGTCTGGATTTGATGCAGCAGACTATGTTGGAACAAGCAAGTAGATTGGTTATAGTTACATTGAATCAAGCAGCACATTGTCCAATAAAGTTATAATCCTTAAGAATTTAATTAAATTAAACCCAGTATTTAATACTATTACGGTATGTATTCTTTAGCAATAACCATTCAATACATTTGCTTCCTGTAATTACCTCTCTTTCTCTTAGTTTTCATTGTTTGTGACAAAGTTTCCTATTCCGGTGCTGGGCTCAAATTGCCTTCCCAAGGTATTCACAAGAAATGATGCAGGAAGTTTTGCAGGCTCTCATTCTTCTAAAGTGGTGTCAGAGTTGAATTAAGTTACTGCCAGTGTTTCATATTGAAGGCATTTAAATGTCAAAACACAGAGTGGCTTTTATTGTGAAGCAGTCACAGGAAACTGAAAAAAAAGGCTGCACTGTAAACATATACCAGTTGTTCTTCTTTGTGCTGAAACAGTAGCTTCTCAAGGAATGTTAGCTGTTGTATTAAACTGTACTTACTGTTACCACTAGGTGTCACCCAATCAACCAGGACTGAAATCTTAAAGATAACAACTTAAATGTAATTAATGAGTTATTATATTGTATTTAATTATACAGAACTGATGCAGCATATCACCTTTATTGGGTATGTTTTATAATGTAGTAGCTACCAGGAGCTATCAGCCAGTCATTATCTTAGTAATGAGTTGAGTTATATTACCTTTGAAAACATGGCGGTGAATATATTATAAGTGTACAAACTTTGGTTTGAATCGTTTTTTCTCAGTATTTCAAATTCAGTTTTTGTAGTGACCAGACTTATGAAGAGTTTTTTCTTGTGAAGGACAAGGCCATCAATGACACTGTCAGAGTTGGGCCTGAGGACATCAGACATGAAAAGGAAATGTTATTGACAGTAACTTAACATTCAGGAAAGGAAGGCAATTGGTTGAGGATTTCCGATATCTAATAAAGGCTGTAACTAGCAGATAAGGCTGAATATACAAAAACTGCTGCCACTTAAGCCTAGCTGCCCTTGGGCACATTTTATTTAGACATTGCAAAACAAAGATGCACCTTTGCTGAGATGGTATCTCATATAAAAAATGGTAAAAAAAAACCATTAGCAAACATCACCTTGAATCAGCAGCTCATGTGTCATTAACTGCACACTGTGTTCACAGAGCTGTGGTCTGGTCTCATCTCAGGAAAGAATGTATTTGAGTTTACTTAGGGGAGTTTATTGAAAGTGGCAGCGATGGCCCTTTGGATTCAAGGTGCATTTCAAGAAAAAACAACATCATGGCACGTCTGACCATTATTGCTAGGCACTTCCATTTCTTCTATTTACTAGCATCTTACGTGCTGATTACATTTCAGGAGAAAATTCGATGACTGCCATTTATCATTTTTTTATGGGGATTTTTTTCTGTGACAACTGATTAGCCCACAGAGCTAAGGAGTACATGAGAACACGAACGCTGGAGACAGTCAAGTTGGAATGAGCCACCGTACCATTGACAGATTGTGGGGATAAAGCCGGAGATGTAGGGATTCACTCGAGGGTGTGAATCAGGCATAATTAATTTAGGAGTGCACAAAAATTAATCCACCCAAGAGTGCCAGAAACGTTTCTGTGTAGTTTCCCCAGCCACCTGCTGGTTGCCTTATGATAGATGAAACCCTTTAGTAAACAAGCATCACAAAATGGCAGAGTGAGGCATATTGAACATTGCTGTGTCTCTTCCTTGCCATCTTCTCTGAAAAAAGTAATTAGATGCTGGGATGCAAAACACCATGGCAGTGTATCTGCGGGCACCTGCTCTGTTTGATGAATATCCTGTACACGGGAGCCCATTAAAGTCGATACAAAACAGCTCTGTCAAAGATCACTTCAGAATCAGGATTTTTGTGTAAAGTCCCTGATCGCTTAAATTAATTCCTTTTGTAACATCCAGATTATGCATATTATGATGAACATAGCAGAGTGTGTTGTGCCGTATAGTGTGTGGATCACCTTTTCATTACAGATCAAGAGCAGGGGGACAGGCAGCGGGACTTTTAACATTAGAAGTCACACCAAAGAGTTGGCAGAGACACTGCTCACAAACATAGAGCTGGTTTACAATATGCAGGCTGCTGGTGCTCTGTGAGCCCAGTATATGCAACATATTTCCTCTGTGCATTGTGCACTGTACACAGCACAAACCAATACACTGTACTTAAACACACACAAAGCACTTGCACAGAAATAACT